TACATTTAGGCTGTGTTTTTAACTAAAAAGAAATGGATCATAAGAGTAATGTGTTCATTGGTGGTGCTGTATGTTTATTGTTTTGCATCCAGCGCATGAGGACAACCCAATACAAAGACATTAATGTTATTATTTTGTGGTATACAGTCATTTTATTTTATCACATTGATCACATATTTGATACAGACTGTGAACTTGGGTAAATTATTGTTTCTTTTGCTGTGACAATTATCTGTAGAAACACTGGTTTGCATAACTGATTAAACATGATAAAGATCAGCTGGTTGACATTATTCGCTTTTTAAAATGGCAGCACTCAGAGGATGAGACCAAACCTTCAGTAATTCACCTACAATACCTATGGTACCATATGTTCCTCTGGTTTAGTGGGAGAGCATTGCGTTAGCAGCGCAAAAGGTCAAGGGTTTGATTCCCAGGGAACACACATACTGGTAAAAAATGTCTAGCCTGAATGCACTGTAAGTCACTTTGGATAAAAGCATCTGCCAAATGCATAAATAATTATTATTAAATTATTACCACATTCCCTGCGTTGTAAGTTTCCAATCAGATGTCAAATAGACATTTATTAGATGCCTTTAAGATATTTATGATTTAGAATGTATCTCCAAAGAACTTACAGACGTCTCTCAGCTGTTTGTACACAGCAGATGTATATCAAGCGATTTTTAACAGACATCTTTCAGACATGCATGTGCTCTCTGGGATATAGGTCAAGTGCTAAAGGTGGTTGCCTTGGTCACGAGACCGTTTGTAACATTACAAAATTCAACAAGACCGTTTCTCTCTGAAACATCACACAGGCAAGAGGGATACAAACAACAAAACATTATTTTCTATGTGTAATAATACTTAATTTGCGTAATTGTACAAATAATTGTACATGTCTATTGCAGCTTAGCTGCAAAATAAAAGTGCAAAACATCATGTATTATACTAACAATATTGTATATAAAATACATTTAGGAATAAGACAAAAACACAGAAGCAACTCAATCTTTCGTCTTTCTCCAGATGTGCTGTAGTTTCTTCTATTCCAGCAGGAGCTACCTACAGCTACTCGTGTCGTGAGATGGAGGGACGTTACGTTATTGTGAATATTCCTGGAACTTCAAAGGTTCTTACTCTCTGTGAAGTGGGAGTCTATGTGATTTTTCCAGGTAATTCAGAGCTACTTAACAACCTGGTCTAAACCCTTTCAAGGGGAATTTGACTTTTTTAAAGCTGTTCTCATTTCATTACAGTAGTTTTTAATATAGTTTACTCTAGTCGAGATCCAAAGACTTAACATATACTCGGACGGTGCTCGGACGGAAAGCAAGATGCATAATTTAGTAGAATAAGGACCGTCTTCTAAATAAAAGAGTCAATAGGCAATTGGTAAAGCTGTCACGTCACTGCAGCTGCCATTAGAGGCTCTGGTTGGCATAGAAAGAGTTTGTTCTGATAATAGAT